GGTTGGACTGCCTCACCCGCTACCCAAGGGAGGCGGTGGCCCTGGCGAAGAGCACGCTCTTCGGGGCTCCAAACATTTCGAACGGATAGGCTACCACACACACACACAACAACAACAATTACAACAACAACTACAATTACAACAACAACTACAATAACAGCAACAACAATTACAACAACAACAATTACAACAATTACAACAACAACAATTACAACAATTACAACAACAACAATTACAACAATTACAACAACAACAATTACAACAATAACAACAACAATTAAAACAACAACAATTACAACAACAACAACAATTACAACAACAACAACAACAACAACAACAACAACAACAACAACAATAATTACAACAACAACAACAACAACGCCTACTCCACACCCTTCTTGACAGAGGTATTCCGTACAAAAACGTCCAATGGCTTAATGATCGTAAAACCAGAGTCCTATTCAAAGGAATACTGTGTAAGAGCAGGAAAAAGAGCGAAGGCGTAATACGGGGTTCGACCCTGGCACCCATCCTCTTCCTTTTTTTCTCTACGAACTGATGAAATTGTTCCCGAATGATCTCACACTCTCGCTCTCTACCCTCACTTCATGATACACAGCACGAGACGCCGAACGCCAGGCACAAAGATCGGTGTACATCGTTGCTGACCGGAGTAGGCGATGGAAACTTATGCTGAATGGCTAAAAAACGAGACTACATTCTTTACGCTCGCAACATTTAATGCGGAATGGAAGCCATGTATCACGATCAATAACATTCGACGACAAAGTAGGAGCCCTAGTCAAGACTCCAGGGAGTAACACTTGACCACAGGCTCACGTTCAGCAAACAGGTTGAGATAGTAATAGCCAAGGCCACGCAGAAGATGAGAATGCTCGGCTCTGTCGCCCACTCCAAATAGGGATGTATGAAAGACGATTTACACAAGGTCTTCATCACCCATATACAAAGTGTCATCAACTTTGTGAGCAGCAGCTGGTAACCATGGCTGAGCGAAACTCTGATAAATAATCTGGAGGTGGTTCAAAATAGATATCTGCGACTGATCACCACCCAAGCCCAGTTCTCATTCATCGAGGCACTTCGAGCTGAAACGATGATCCTCAGCATCGAGTCCACCATCGACACCCACTGCCTCCGTTCAAGAGAGAAGGCCCTGCGAATGAACAGAGACCGGCCGTGACGAATTGCCCCAACGAAGTGCACGAACTCCTAAAGGGACGCATAGTTTTCCGTTAAGGGGCTGAAGACGCCCGCAGAAAGAATTCACTTCTGTTTAATTGCGAGAGGAGGCTCAATAATTATCTCGAAACAAGGCAGTGGGAACGGGGAATCAACCCCGAAATCGTTTCCTCCCACCTGTACGGCATAGGCGGATGGAGTGACTCTGCAGCTCTCCGTCGGGCACTAGAGCTGGGCGCATGCACAGTACAGCATCTACACGGACGGCTCAGCAAGTGCAGTAACAATGGGGTCGTCATCACAACAAGGGAGGGGGGGGGGCGTCCAATCCGACCGTTGTCAAGGCATTGAAGGAGAGAGGCGCTTTAGTTACGTGCTCGTTCGAAGAGAGAAGAAGAGAGGAGAGCTTGGAAATGGCTATTGACTGAATCGATCAACAGTATGGTGCATCTAACTCGGTCGCTATCTTCACTGACAGCCAATCGCTGTGCGAGGCACTCGTGAAAACATCACCATCCCTCGATCAATTGCGACTACGCATAAATAATGCAAAACCTCAACCCACGATCCAGTGGATTCCAGGTTACTGAGAGATTCTCGGCCACGACCTCGCTGACAGTACAGCCAAACAGGCCACGGCACTACTGGGCCCAAGCTGCCAAATCTCATATGGAAGCGCGTCGTGCGCCCAGATAAGACTGATAACCAAAGC